AAGGTGTAAGGCTTGATAAATTTATTTTCACATTGTAAAACCTTACACCTGCGTAAGAAATGGACCATGCATTATGTCTTATAATTCTCATGCTGGAAAATTCTAGCGTAAGAACGTGTGCATGTTATTGGTGAAAGATCAAACAAAGTAGTACCGCATCTTCGAAAAACTCAAGCAAAAACGAGCAGGTATGAAAAAAGGAACTATAATCATAACTTCCAGAAAACTACCGACTGAATCCAACTTACCATAAAGTCATAATTGCTTTTTGTTTGCTGAAAATCAGAAAATTTTCAAGTGGCAATCGGCGACAAAGTAAATTTGACCCCGTAAAGAATTGTGATTGGATTGGCGCCATGCTGAATTCCCAGCTAAATATTCTCACGAAGAGTGACTAATTTATGCAAGTGATGCAGTAACTCTCATGAGAGGTTGTATCAATTTTTTTCAACAAGATTATACCGTAATAATTGCATACCTCTCCCGCTGAACTTCTCCGACTCGATTTTTCATTAAAAAAAAAGGTGCACTTGGAAAATCGCGAAAATACTGTGCCTTCCACTTATTCATAGATTGTGGACTGAGAAAATATTTGGTCCAAAAATTAGGAACAAAAAAGTATATATCCTTATAATTTAATCACGAATTTCGTCACCAAATTTACGCATATTTTGGGAGTCAACGCTTTGAGAAAAAAAAAACGCTTCGCTTTTATTTGGCAACCAAACGAGCGACGGTCAATCGTCCAGCTCATGCGAATGTAGATCGACCCACGCTGGGAACATCAGATAACAGCATTATTTGCCAAGAAAAACGAGAAAAGTAAATCTCACGACAGCACGACCTTCTCGACTGGATCGAGTCCACCGTTGAACAAATTCAACAGCAGCCAGAGGAAGAAATAGAAACTTTTGATCTCTTAAGATAAGCGGAAAAAAAAGAGAACAAAAGTTGGGTTGTTGAACATCGCGGCGATTTGGTGATTGGAAGCCAATATTTTGACGCGTTTCCCAGTTCCAGGTCTGTTTTATTTCCGAATCTGAAGAGCGATCATTCCTATTTTTTTCGCCAGGAAAAGAAAAAAAAATACGGGCGTGTTATTCCTTTGTTTGTGGACCTTATTTCCTGGTGTGTCAAGAGACGATGATGACTTGAAACAAATGTATTTTTTCGGTGCTGGAGCTACATGAGATCCTTGTTTAACTCGACTTGGAAAATATTTAAAGAATGGTATGCTGTTGAATTCTCGTGAACAACATGGTCCATAGTTACTTGAAATTCCGAATGCAAATAATGATCCGCAATATTTAACAACGCCGTCATTATCACCTTGAGTTGAGCAAATTTGCTCAGTCGTATTTCAGCAGTGTTACCTCGCACCATTTAAAGATAAAAATTCCGAAAAGCGACGATCAACCAACTTAGTGCTGTAGTGATGAAATCCAGAATGAAAAGAAAAACTTAATGAGGTAAACCATCCCGACCCTTTCTTGGGTTTTATTTTAAATTAGCCTCTGTTATCTTTACTCTGATTATTTATCAGTAGTTGGTGGTCGCTGATTCACCTACACTGAAGGTGAGCATTTCAAAAGGTTCTATTCCGGAATACTAGGAGATTCAATGTTCTTTTAATTTCGAATGCTATTCACATGCTATTTACGTAGTTTCTTTTTACAAGGGNTAAAATGCACCTGTATATATAGCCTCAGCTGGCCACGGTCACGGGACGCGCATAGAGAGCCGATTTGGATCGGGGACGTCACGCTTCGTTTCTTTAAAGGAAGGAAGCGTGAGCGCGGTTGAGAAAGAATTCCGTCAACAACGGGATTGGGAAATATAATTACTAGCGCGCCAGGCGCAGCCAAGCGTAGAGGAAATACATTAGCTCAAAAGGGTCACGCGTAAAGTGAAGGGTGTTGTGGTCATAAATATGACTACACTTTCGAAAAATTCATTTTCTACGATGATCTAGTATCCCGAAAATTCCAACCAATCACCAACAGCAGCCCGTGCATAAAATAGCATTGATAGTCGATATATTTGGTAGGAAATCTCTTCACGTGCGTCGTCAGACCATTGAAAAGTACTGTTTGGTAAACAGCAGAATAATAAGCGTCGATCCGCGAATGAAAAATGAGGAAGTTATTCTCATAGTGAGAGCCCTTTTCCTCATCTGATCTCCAGACGATGCACAATTGCCAATTTATGCGGAATAGGCACACTTTTTCGACACTGACAATAAGAAAGGCAAAAGAAAAAAGCGATAAGGAGCTACGATATACACTACTATACAAACTGAACACGTAACACTTCATATGCCACCCGCGAGGACGGAAAAAAGAATAACGACCGAGGATTTTTTCTTCTCTCTCGTCGCTTTTCACCTGGGACTATACTTTTCAAATACAGTATTTTTCCCTCCTCAGTTCAGTTCACCGACATCGAACTGCTGAACTATATGCGAGACTTTTTTTTTGCTCTGCGGTTTTTTTTTTCTTTCGAAATTGACCACTGCAGGAGCAGCAGGAAAATAGGTGGGAGAAAGAAATATCGTCGCGGGTCGATGAGGAAAGCATGAAAAACGATGAGGGACGAGTGGGAAGGCCTCCGAGACAAATGAAGAAATAATACAGCATTCAGAATACAGAATTTTTCGAAATTGCTCCAAGAAGAAAAAACAATTTCAAAAGTCTGTCGTACTTTAAATGAGTTTCTCTTATTTTTTTCTTATAAATCTATCTTAGAGATAAGCTATCCCTGCATACGAAATGTACCATGCATTATAATTCTCATGCTGGAAAATTCTAGCGTAAGAACGTATGCATGTTATTGGTGAAAGATCAAACAAAGTAGTACCGCATCTTCGAAAAACTCAAGCAAAAACGAGCAGGTATGAAAAAAGGAACTATAATCATAACTGCCAGAAAACTTCCAACTGAACCCAACTTACCATCAAGTCATAATTGCTTTTTGTTTGCTGAAAATCCGAAAATTTTCAAGTGGCAATCGGCGACAAAGTAAATTTGACCCCGTAAATAATTGTGATTGGATTGGCGCCATGCTGAATTCCCAGCTAAATATTCTCACGAAGAGTGACTAATTTATAAAAGTGATGCAGTAACTCTCATGACAGGTTGTATCAATTTTTTTCAACAAGATTATACCGTAATAATTGCATACCTCTCCCGCTGAACTTCTCCGACTCGATTTTTCATTTAAAAAAAGGTGCACTTAAAAAATCGCGAAAATACTGTGTGTCTTCCACTTATTCATAGAATGTCGCACTGAGAAAATATTTTGTCCAAAAATTAGGAACAAAAAAGTATTTATCCTTATAATTTAATCACGAATTTTCTCACCAAATTTACGCATATTTTGGGAGTCAACGCTTTGAGAAAAAAACGCTTCGCTTTTATTTGGCAACCAAACGAGCGACGGTCAATCGTCCAGCTCATGCGAATGTAGATCGACCCACGCTGGGAACATCAGATAACAGCATTATTTGCCAAGAAAAACGAGAAAAGTAAATCACACGACAGCACGACCTTCTCGACTGGATCGAGTCCACCGTTGAACAAATTCAACAGCAGCCAGAGGAAGAAATAGAAACTTTTGATCTCTCAAGATAAGCGGAAAAAAAAGAGAACAAAAGTTGGGTTGTTGAACATCGCGGCGATTTGGTGATTGGAAGCCAATATTTTGACGCGTTTCCCAGTTCCAGGTCTGTTTTATTTCCGAATCTGAAGAGCGATCATTCCTATTTTTTTCGCCAGGAAAAGAAAAAAAAATACGGGCGTGTTATTCCTTTGTTTGTGGACCTTATTTCCTGGTGTGTCAAGAGACGATGATGACTTGAAACAAATGTATTTTTTCGGTGCTGGAGCTACATGAGATCCTTGTTTAACTCGACTTGGAAAATATTTAAAGAATGGTATGCTGTTGAATTCTCGTGAACAACATGGTCCATAGTTACTTGAAATTCCGAATGCAAATAATGATCCGCAATATTTAACAACGCCGTCATTATCACCTTGAGTTGAGCAAATTTGCTCAGTCGTATTTCAGCAGTGTTACCTCGCACCATTTAAAGATAAAAATTCCGAAAAGCGACGATCAACCAACTTAGTGCTGTAGTGATGAAATCCAGAATGAAAAGAAAAACTTAATGAGGTAAACCATCCCGACCCTTTCTTGGGTTTTATTTTAAATTAGCCTCTGTTATCTTTACTCTGATTATTTATCAGTAGTTGGTGGTCGCTGATTCACCTACACTGAAGGTGAGCATTTCAAAAGGTTCTATTCCGGAATACTAGGAGATTCAATGTTCTTTTAATTTCGAATGCTATTCACATGCTATTTACGTAGTTTCTTTTTACAAGGGGCTCAAGGGCACCACAACCATAAACCGCGATATAAAGTTTTTAAAAAATGATGCTATTCGAAAATAGTTCGCTTGATTCTCCATTATTTGAGCTGACGATGTTACGTTGATTTGATTTTTTGTATTTTTTACGTGTTGCTTGAAATATAGAAAAAAATGTGATGGTCAACTTACATCCCACACTTGACAATTATTTTGAATTATTATTTTGAAAGCCACTCTGATAATCATATTTTGAATTTGTTTGCATTATTTAATATTTTAATCTACAAGTATTAAAATTGAAAAGTTCTTTCATTTGGATCTATATTAGAATTTGATTTATGATGAGGAAACTTGGCCCTATGCCCCCTAACCAAACAATTGAAAGCTAAATATGATGGAGTTGTTGGGGTAATTTAATTGAGTTTTCTGATTTGTGATCTGACAAGTATACAGTCAACCCTCACTTAACGTTTTTAGTTGATGCAGCGGGAAAAAACGTTAGCTGAAAAAAAAAACGTTAAGCCAGGTAGTCTCTCCCTTAAGATATAAGGGAGAAATGTTTAATTGGTGTCAGGCAAAATTTTCTAAAGGTAAAATTCAGAAAAAATGGACTTCTGTTCAAACATTCAAGCGAACGCATTTTTTCCTGTAGTTTTGGTTTACTTCCTGTTTGAAATTTGGAGAAAATTGGTTCATTTTCACTTATGGGTTGTAAATTTTAGAAGCCCATAAACTAGAACAGAGAGTCAATGACACTACGAGTGATATTTTTTGCAATACTGATTTATTTTTCTCTCTTGAAAACCTCAATTTTCGACAGGGACATAATTATCAAATGTAAACAACAAAAAGGAGAAACAGAGAAATGTATGGATACGCATATTGTGGAGAAATTTTGAAAAAGTGAACAGCAATTCTGCACAACTGCAGAACGTTGTGCAGATTTTGGAACGTTGAGCAAGGGGATTTTTCTCATACAACCTGGAACATTATGCAAAAAAATGTTCAGCAAATGGAACGTTAACCAAGGGTTGACTGTATAACCTGTAAAAGCCTAATTGGTGCGTGCAGGGGTGTTGGCAAATTTATTGAATGTAGTAAACAGTGACAATATTCGGAAAGTAAAGGTTGCAAATAAATCAATCAAGAAATGATATCGAAGAGTTAAAAAAAACTCTTAGAAATTTTTTTTTAGAAAAGCACTCATCGTTAAATCGAGCAATCAAGCTATGAAACACGTGCTTACCTGCTTTCGTTGAAATGAAAACACTTGTCTTCGTATTTTATGGTTTCCTGTCTGCTATACTACTGCAGAAATGAGCGTCGGGGCTGTGAGGCGACGACCATCATCAGCAGTGCCTCAGGAGCCAAAACGACCCCATGATGCAAAATGGGATTTGAAACGACTCGGGATCCAGCCAGAATGGGTGACTTCAAGTCACGGCGTCCTTCGACATGCAAAACGACCGCACGTGAGAAACAATTTTAAGTTTTATTCGAGCCAATTTCAAGCGTAAACATGCAACGGAATTCGCGAGGGAACTGACTTGGACGAAAAAAAAAAAAAGTCTGGGTGTATCCATGCATTTACTTGTCGAGTCAGTGAAAAGTGAAGTATTTAAAGTATTTACTTGAGTACCATGCACCCTTGAGTAAGGCGCGCACAGTGGTTTTTCCGTTGAAAATTTTGCTAAAACCTTATTCCCAAGTAAGACGCACATCCCACTTTTTAGTGAATGTAAATCCACAAAATTCTGAAAAAAAATTTGACTTTAGACATGAATTGTATAAAAATCTGATCAATTTTCAGCTTTTTCAGTATAAACAAGTTTTCTTGGTACATTTGTACCCTAATTCGAAAATCTGTTCACTTTTTTTCTGCCCAGCCCTGTATATACAGCAGAAGAGGAGAATATACCGATTGAACCTTTTTTGTTTTCAAATTTCCGCATAATCTGTTGCATATTGAACTATAACCTAGCACTTGAATGCTGAAAATCTGAAAGAAGTTTCATCATTTTTTTTCCGAGCATATTATATTTCAAACATGATTCGGATATTGAATCAGGTCCCAGGTTTCCGCCCGTCGTGGCTCAACAGTCTGGACCCCTACCGGATGTACAAGCCGGACCCGAGCATGTCCAAGAGACTGGTGTTGCAAAATGCTGCCTTCTACAACAAATTCCCTGCTCAGATCCTTCAGCAGCCTGATGTCAGCCCCAACACCGTCATCAGGGCAATGCCGCCAAGGCCTCCTCGAATGCGCGAACGTCAAGATCCGGCAATGGCTCTCAAGAACAACATCTTGACGGGATTCAGCTTGATCCCCAACATGGTTCGGTCTTGGGTGGCAGATAACATCAGGACTGTCAATCATGAGCACGTAGGTTTTTACTCTTATGAGTTGCAGTGAAAAAAATTCGAGAGACTTTTTCTTTTCTTTTTCATTTTTTTAATGAGACAGATTGTCTCAGGAAGTCAGTATAGGAAACTGTAACAGGATCTCAGGCGCTCAAAATAGAGTTTTCGAGTAATCTATGCTGACCAAATAGCGACTAAATTTATAGTAGGATCGTTACGGTTAATTACTGTATTATCGAATAGTTCTCGTGTGTGCTCCGGATCATTAATTATGGACTGCTCAGTTTCCATCCCCAATTTTTGGAAATATCGAAATTGACTGAACATTTACGACTCAGCTGTGAATTCTGTGATTATTGAAAATGCTCAGGAAATTTTAGATGATTTCACTCATTTTTTATTTTCCTCTTGGAAAGTCGGACTACTCAGTTTTCACCGATTACTTCATCTTTTCAACACTTGATTATTAAATAACGGGTTCAGCCCCGTCCGAATGAAAATAATTTAGACCCCGCTGTATTCGATTCAAGTTCTCACATCTTATATTTGTTACTGAATTGAAGCTTGCTTTTTTTTTTGATTATCTGTTTCGAATTTTCAAGCGTGACTCATTATTTGCGAGCATTGAAGATATTCTGTATTTGAGATTATTTCGCACATCTTACTTTCTTCCCTCTTCGGAAACTCGGATTGTTCAGTTTCCCGACTTATCACCCATAATTTTTTAAATCATATTTTAAAAACCCTGATTAAGAGTTAGCAGCTTCAGCCCAGCCCTAAATGAATTTATTTAATGTAGACCCCGTTGTATTCGATTCAAGTTCTCAATGTTCATACTTCCGTTTTGTTTTCTGGTACGGAGCAGTTTCAAATTTTCTAACGTGAATAATTAGTTGTGATTATCAGAGATATTCTGTATTTGAGATCACAGTATTTCGCACATTTTTTTATGTTTTGTTCTCGGAAACCTCGTCGTGCTCCATGCACCCAGTTTCCACCCATCAAATCCACGGCGCTCCGCATGCACCCGAACGAAGTGCTCCGGTCTCGAGAAAAGCGCACGAAACTCGCTCGACCTCAGGCCATGGAGCCAAGCAAGGCCATCTTGCACAAGACCATTTTGCAGGCTACCAAGCACCACCAGGCTGAAGAACGCCGACGAGCCCGACTGCACCAGAGAGCAAGGACACCGGGGGTTTCTGCCGGTGCTGCGGCAGCCATTACCGAGGCCCGTGGCTCAATTCTCGAGGATTCCTCTCCAGGCTCGCCCTTGAGTTACTGCGTTAGTCCTGCTGCTGATGGGAAACCCACGACTAATACGAGGAACCTTCGGAAAGCTGGTGCAGACCCCGAGTCAACTGGTGACGCGAGTTCTGCGGTACCCGATGGTGCGAATAATAAGCAACTACCCGCCATGGGAAGAAGCAGGCGACGGGATAAACGGAGTCTGGTTGAGAAGAAAAACAAGATTTATGAGTATGTCTCCCCCCTATGAAAATCCGGTTCATTTCGCACGTCGCAGTAAAATATTTTGACGCGTTTCTTTCCCTTTCTGTACGATGCGCCATTGCCCCGGAATTATTTTGTTTGTGGAGACGGTATAGGGAGCGCATCATGTAAAATAAGTACTTTACATTACATCGATTCGGGCATTGTCCAGCTTCGTGATCATTGAATAGTCGTGCGTCATGCAACATTTCGAGCTCAATTCGTCTGATTGCCCAAGTTGGACGTAAGCAATTCATGCTGGACTGTGTTTTTTTAAATCGCAAAAATGGATAATGATTTGTGAGTGCTGCTGGTGACCGGGCATTACTTTTGAGTCCATACTAACCTTTTTTGTGTATTCAAGGTTTCTGCTATTTTGCTTTCGAAAACTAAAAAGAAAATCATTTTTCAACACTTTAGTATTACCTACCTGTATGTTGATTTGTGACACATTAATGTTTAGCTGTAAAAATAAAAATACGTGGCAATCGTCTCATACGCGGGAATAAAAAATCAATTATTTTTTTACGGGGTCGAAAGTAATTTTCGAGTGCTTTACGGAGTTGAAGGTGAAAAAATTGTAACAATTTCATGTATTATTCTCGGTATCACACGTATATATACGAGACACCAAAATATCCTGGCGGAATCCGAGGTACAAAAGGTTCTGTTTTGTCCAGCAAACACAATCATCCCAGCTTTTTTCATCCACCCAAGGTGGATCCCACATTTCATCTTATTAGCTACTACCAATGTTGACTCTAACCCAGCACAAGCATATGCTGTAGAATAAACGGGACTTCGATCAAGCTTTCTTCCGGGTTTTACACACACGAGTTCCTTTTTTTTTCTTGTTCTTCTTTTCTTCATATATTATACACATCATGAATATATATATATATATATACATAGGGACAAAGCGGAAACGATCGCTGCCCAACGACAGCGAGAAATCCTCAACGTCATTCGGAAGGTGATCCGAAGGGTCGGCAGTCTCAAGGAGGAAAATGAAGGAGCCGCCCCCGGACGTGATGATGACCGCCCATCTGCTGTGAGTGACGCCACTTCTCGCGACATGGCCGAGCATTGTTTGCGAGATGTCGGCGACGACGAGGACCGCCGCGGTCAGTCGGGATTTGATCACGGTGAACGACGTCGACGTCGACATCGACATCGTCGTCTTGCTGAAGAAGCAGAAGAAGAAGAAATTGGACCCGAGTCGGTAATGATGAGTGAGACTGCGAGTTTTTTGAAGGATGCTCCAGCGTCATCAGGACGCCATCGTCGTCGTCATCATCATCATCGTCACGGGCGACTTCGAAAGGATGACTACGGTTCTTCCCAAGAGGATGACGTGGATTACAACGACGAGGGTAAGTTTTTGTTTTGGGAAATTATTTATTCATCATTTTTTTTAAACCTTAAAACTTGGCCAATGGTGTTAGAAATTAATCCCAACAAATGAAAGTTCAGATTAAGTTGGAAGTTTGTAAAAAGAAGTTTTTAGAAAATAAAATGCAATGATTCAGTTGGGCTTTGACCAGGGTGCAAAACACCCTATTTTAATGTTGGTATAATTTTGTGAGGTTGAACATGACAGCAAAACTTGTAAAATCTTGGAGATGATGCACACACAAATGCTTGAATCAAACTGTAATGAAATAGACAAGTTTGGAAATCAAGAAAACTGTCCTTCAAGGACAAAAAACAGCAACAGGATCTTGGTAATAAAATCCAGCCTTGGAGGCTGCAAAACATCTGTGGGAACCAAGGTCTTCCAAGATTCCCATACAGATAGAATGAAAGACAAACTTTACTGGGTGATTTGGATTCTCTTAAAGCTAGCGTATCAAATTTAATATGGTTGTAGAAATATTTGCAACAAATGGTGGCAGCAACATGCTGTCATAAGAGTCAAGAATATTATCTAGACAAATAAAGATTTTTAAGATTGAGTAGAAAATGTTAAAATGAAACACACAAATTCCATTGGGCTGCAACCAGGGTGAAGAATCACCCTATTTTAAGGTTGTTGTAATTTGGTTTTTAACGCGCAAGTACAAAAAAGCAACAATTTTGCTTAGATCAAGAAGTATCAACACATGCAAATGCTTGAATTGGAATGAATGATATTTGCCAATTTAGGAAAACAGGAAAACTGTCCTTCAAGGACTAAAAACAGCAAACACGATTTTAGCAATAAAATACAGCCTTGAAGGCTCAGAAACAAATGTGAGAACCAAGGTCTTCCAAGATTCTCAGAGATGGAATGAAAGAAGACTTTTACTGGGAATTTGGGTTGTCTGATTTCAGCCTGTTGAATTTAAGGAAGCTATTTAATTTTTGCAACAATAAGAAACTTCTATTTTTCCTTCCAACCTGAGAATGTCTGCTGTCAAATTTATTTTGAGCAAAACAAACAGAAAATTGAAACCCCCTCAGGCTATATGGAGAAGATTTGAAAAAATAAGCCTTCAGTAAATCACACTCTCATCTTATTTTGTGATTTTTGAATTTCCTGTTGGTTTTTGCCTGGGTCGGCTTTTATGGAGCAGAAAGCCCTCAAATTACACTCTGGCTAGAAAATAAAATTGCAGGAATTTGCTCCCCTTTGAATCTCATGCTCTCTTTCAATTACTGTACTTCCACAAATTCTCTTGGCAAAACTGTGGCTACATATTCACCCTACCGGCCTGCCCTATTTTTTGTGTGAATATTTGGAATGCATCTCCTTCAAAAAAAAAATCATTCGATATAAGTTATTTGCTGGAATTGCCAAATGTAAATTAAACATGAAACATTTTGACGAACATTCAAAGAAATGTTTTTTTTAAATCTGGTTTAGACCATTCCGACGAGTACTACGACAGAAGCCATCGTCACCAGCACAGCAATGGCGGACACCATCACAGTCATAGACATAAATCTTTCAAAGAAAAATGCTATGGCCATGACGATACCGACGATCGCCGAGAAAGAAAGTCTAGACATTCTCGACAATTTGAAAATTATGGCGAGAGCGATTTTGAAGAAGATGAAGAACAAATGTACCCGAACAGAAGACATCAAAATAGGGTTCATTTCATCGGAGGCGGTGCTGAAGATCCCGCAATTCCTTTGCCAATGGCACCAGAACGTGAGTGGGAAACTTTGACAAAATTTGGCAGTTTAATTTATGCACATATAATATATATGCTTAGATTTCGAATGATAACGAAACCATACTTTTCATACGTTTTATTTTAGATATCGACGAGCACATATAATTTTGAAGCTGCTGCATCTATATTCGTTGCATTGATCTTCAATGTATAACGCTTTCAACATTCACTGAAAGTAGTTGTAGTATATAATAACCCGCAGTTTTTAATGTACGTGACATATTCTTGAACTGTTATTTTAATGAAAAAAAAAATTGAGGAATGCACGTTTAAAATAATATAATCGAAATAAACTAAAATATGCCCTGCCTAGAAATTTCCGAAATGGAATTCAGTTTAGTTTAGTTTTTTATGTTTTCGTATTTTTCAAAATTCATTGGGCTAAAAAAGCCTTCATAATTGAAGAATACTGTAGTTAATTGCTGCTATTCAAACCGAAAGAAAAATTAGTCCAAAATAGCGATAATACTGTACTTCGAAATTTGAATAACTAATGGAATATTTTGAGTTCCGAACCCAAAATTGACCGCGAAAATCACAATAAAGAATTTATATGTAAAAGCCAGGTCGATGAATTGCTTCGTCATTCAGAAATTAGAATCTCATCGCTGAGAAGGGAATTATGATATTGTTTTAATCTCCCCGATTCTTAAGAATCCCATCATATTTGTTCACGTGACGATGCATGATTGCGGAATAATATTTTTGCCGTATATCTGATTATACACGTTATCAGGCATCACAATCCCGAACTCTGGATTGTATAATTAGTCTCATCACTTGATTAAAACTCACTGAATTTGAAAAAAAACCAATAAAAAAACAGAGCCCTCGGAAGATGCCCGAGTCGAGCATCATCCGGAAAAACAGCAGCCCCAGCAAGCGTCTGACCGGGTCCCACAGCAGCTAGCACAGGTCAATGATCAAGAACCACAACAAGATGACCCTGCTGATGAGAACATCAAGGGCTTTTCGTCAAATAAAGAGCACAGATCCGACTCTACCCATCATAGAAAACATGGCAGGAAATCCGGCGACTACCGTGCTGGCAGGCAAAAACATCACCGATACCACTACAACACAACACTCAAGATCCCGATGAGACGGAGTCGAAACATTGCTGTAATTTCACCGTCAGACAGCTCAGTGGTGTCCACGTCGACCACGCAACAGTCGAGTGATGCCATGAGAGCCCTGCCAGAGCCAGATCCTGATGACGTGAAAGATTACAGGAATAAGGCCAAGTTTATCAGGAGGAATTTGTGGAAGACGAAGAAATCCGTCACCCGACAGGTTCGTCACGCGTTGGGGTTTACATGTTGGGGGGGTTGTAATTGCTGCCGGTGACCCGAGACCTGCTCAAGGATGGGTCAGGTGGGCTTGGGACTTGAGTGGATGTCATACTGTGTCGTGTAGGCTTTGCTGGAGAATTACATTTCAGGGGGGGGGGGGGGGCTTATAATGTTTCTAGTTGTGTTCGTATTCAATTTTATTCGAAGGAAAAGCTTGACAAAAAATAGTCTTGTAAAGTGAATGTAAACAATGCAAAAATTCTGAAGTATGCTTTTGATCTTCAGCGGAAGATTTCCTCAATAAAAATCTGGAATATCGTTTTTAGAAGTGAAGCGGGTGTTACTGTCACCTCTCAAAATTAAGGTCTCTATGGAAAAGCAAGTCTTACATAGAGCTTTAAGGTGATGGAAACAATGGTGTACGCATGATCATTGAGATGCATGAACTATTTTTGAGGATGAAATCGTCGTTTTGTCTTTCATTCATTTCTATTCTTCATCAGCCTTTTCCCCCCGAAATGATTGGGGATCAACACTGAAGATAAATTTCCTATTTTAATTTGTCAAACATGATTTTTCTGAGGTGTTCGCCACATACACTGTGTTATTGTCCCCCAAATGACCCATCTTATGGGTTTTCAAAAAAAAAAATCAGCAACCAACAAAATGAGATAAGAACCTTTTGACAGTTGTTTCTTGGAAACAGTCATGACTTGACGTTCAGGAACGTTGAGAATAAAAATGAATAATATCGCAAAACGTTGATGTTTTGTAATCATTATGAAAAACGTAGAAAATATAATAATTAAAGCAAAGAAAACAATATGGAAACAGTCATGACTTGACGTTCAGGAACGTTGAGAATAAAAATGAATAATATCGCAAAACGTTGATGTTTTGTAATCATTATGAAAAACGTAGAAAATATAATAATTAAAGCAAAGAAAACAATTTTCTTGTTGCTAGCCTGACACAATCTTAGCACCCTGTGACATGGGTGGAGAGCTCTGACTGTTACTGGAAAGTTTTCACTCATAATGATGTAGTTAATTGAAAAACTTTTAAGAATCTGAAGAATCCCTGAACCTTGCAAACATCATGGGCTACTTCAAAATTGTATTTCACAATCAAACATACTTCAGATGAGAGGCCGCTTCCAATAACTGGACAACCCTTGTATATGTTTCCAACTCAAATCTTGGTCTCTCTGCTGGTTGACAAGCAGAACAGGCAGGCAAATGTGGAAAATCAAGTAATTTAACCCTTAATTGGCCGCGGGTTCCTGGCCATCCTGAGGCAATGTTGGGTTTTTTTGGGGGGGGGGGGGTATAGGGGTATTTCAGTTTGATCAAAGGTCACTGAATTTCCCTTAGCTAGGTTGGGAAGGCCCAAGTTGGGAAAAACCTGGGTAGAGCAAATCTCATTGTCTCAAAAAATCCCCAGTGTTAATGCTATCTGGGGAATTCATTCAAAAATCCACCCAGCACAAAGGCTTTTTTATTTTTATTTTTTCTTAGGCAAAATTTTTTCAGGATTATAAAATTTGGACTTTTTCCAGACTTTAGGCCTGTATATACAGGTTCAGAAATGTAATTTTTTTTCAAATTTGTAGTGCTCATGGCAAAAAGTTTGCTGACATATGCCAATGTTGCCACACAAGGGTGGTTCCTCAGAAAGCAGAGGGTTCTTTCCCATTATGGGATGGAGTTGAATTATTTGTGTATCCTCCCGCATTTTCAGTATTTCAAAGGTCAGGAAAACCTTTCCAGGTGGGCTGAGACAAAGTTAGGATTGATTGGAGAAAAGCCTGCAGCTGAACTGAGCATTTTTTTCTTGTGAAATTTTTGTGTGCCCAGAGAAAAAAAACATTGGGATTTTTCCCCATTTCACCCTCCATCCCCATGTTGTCATTTTTTTTCTTCACCTATGAGGTGCAAAAAATTTTTGCAAAAATACTCCGACTTTGCTGCCCAAGGGTTAAATTGATTAGTGTTACCTAATCATCATGAAAATTTTTTCTTCCTATCACAGGCCCGAGAATTGACCTATCCCGACAACAGGTCACCGCCCTTGAGCTATGTGGTCGGTGTGCGAAACAGCAGGAGACAGCTTGACTACGACCCGTCCCGCGCTTACGCCATTATTGGCGCCTCGGGCTCGAAACCCCGGCACCGTCACCGCAGCCATCAACAGCAACACCACCACCAACCCAAGACCAGCGGGCACCATCATCGTCACCAGCACCGACGCC